TGCCGCACCGCTGATATTACTGCAGCCGCTGTGATTCCGCGTATTTCACGCATTTGATTGTGCCACAATACATCCGCTCGTGTGGCCGCCGCATCCAAACAGCGGTGCCCAACACCGTGAGCGGCAGTCCACATCCTTGCATGTCCCAACGCAGTGGTGTTTGACTGTCAGCCAGGCGTCAGACAACAAGAGAGTCTTGTGCTGGCAGTACAACACACGGAGCTGCAGTGAATGACTCGGGCGGCGACGCATCTATTCGTCGCAAAGCAGTGAAAAGGAGTCGGGCAAAATAATGCCGGCTGCACTCACGACACCATATCCACAGCCAAAGCATGCGACGTGATGTGTGTTTCACTGGTGCTGTGAAATGCCTGCAGACGACGTCACTAGTGGAGGCACGCCACCCATGATCAGCGGACAGACAATAATCGGCATGGGAGGCAACAAAAGGCAGCAACGACGCCAGCAGCAGGAGCAGCTCTCTCTCTCTCTCTCTGTTGCCTCCGAGAAGTAAATATTCCACCAGCCGCAGCCGACTGTGCCATCGTGACACTCCATGCACGTCGTGGCTGCGTCAACACATCCTGTTCCCTGCTGCGCCTCAAAGATGCCTCACTCCGTCCACTAAGTGCATCGGTGTGGGCCGTGCCTGGGCTGTTCGTGAGGACCACAACGATGTGAGGGTCACCGAGTCGCAGCATGTTTGTTGTGACGTTGTTGCATGGCACCTGCACACAAACGCAGCGCCTGCATCCCTCCCTTTTGTGTCCGCCCTCTGCCGGAGTGGCCACACACACGGGCAGCAGCAAAATCACTTCACCCTCGACGATCCAAAATCAACACCGACATCCCTCGCGACGCAAAGGTCTCAGTTGCCAGCACGGGCTTCCTGCCGCCCTGCCATCGACGCTGAAACACGGCACAGTGCACGCACCTATTTTCCTCGTGTGCAGTCAGCCGTTTGTTTCACACATTCTTCGGTGGGCTGACGCCCACAAAAGCACGCCACAAAAGGCCACTGTGATCGCACACGCTCTTACGATGAGCGTCGGTGTGTGCATGGATCCGCTGCTCACACGTGCTGGCAGGCAGCCTGCAGCCGGTGCCCTCGTGCCAGTCCATCGGCTCCAGCACGGAAAAGAGAAAACGGCCAATTCCCGATGCACTTATTCCCACCGGCAGCACCAACACGCTGGTCGCCAGCCGTCATTCCTCAGCACATCCAGGAATGCTGAAAAGTGACGTGGAGCTGTCAGCCAGCAATGCCACAATCCCGCACACATGTCGGCTCCACCAGAGAAGACACACAAACTACAAACAACACCCTTCACATGTCTTCCGAACATCATTCCGACACACCGCGACACGCCAAACAGAAGTATTCGTCAACCCAACGCACCTCCCCACACAATCACATAGTCCACGCACCACGCACGGCAGCAGCCCACACGCGGTCAAACAAATGTTCTTCGGATCAGTGTTATCCACGTGCTGCAGTGGGAAGTAAACAAAAGAGACGGGCGGCCAAACCCCAAAAGAGTGCCACGACTGGCCGCTAGTCAACGGAACGCAGCCACTCAAATGAATTCAGTCCCAATGCCATCAACCTCCCACCTTCCCCCACAAAAGCTGCAAAAGATTGAAAACAAACGCACCGTCCAATATATTCTTTGTGCAACACCAAAAGAATCCGCAGTGCCTTATGCTGTCCTCACAGTCCGTTGATGACGCCTGGATGCGGATGGGCACACATCGGTGCTTGCAAGCGAAGCTGCACACCCGCGACGCATCTCCTGCGCTCTGAGAAACGCGTCCTTCACTATCACCAGAGACGCCAATGCGCCGTCGGTACGCACAACACTGTGAAGGAACGAAGGATACGTCAGGCTGACAGCAAGACATCCGCCGACAAATCACAGCGCAGAAATCATCACAAGCAGCGCCAAAAGACCGCAGGCCGCAGAGTAACGTGGATCAACGGACGCATGTTGTATGTGGATGGAAAAACTTGGTGGCGTGACAAGGATGCGAGAGACTGACACTCTCAATAAGAAAGAAGCAACAAGAAAATATCGAAGAAAAGACATTTTGGACGTCCGCAGTCAAAGCAAGCCAAAAATAAATAAAAAACTGGAATGAGTGCACTCAACCACAACACAATAAAAGGAACAAAGCCGAAGCGTGGGACGACCAGCGCACACACTCTCATTGCTCCCGTAAAGCAAAACACACACACAGGGAGAGAGAGAGAGAGAGAGGTCGCCCACTCAATGCAATAAAAACAAAACAGAAACAGTTACGGTGCTCCGCCCATGCAGCCAGGCAGGACGGCAGCGGTGCGTGTCGTGCAAAAGAGAGCACCAACGGGCCTGCATGGGTGTGCATGCAATATATACAATGGGCACATTATGTGTGTGCTTCGTGGGATGAGGTGAGGGCGAGAGTCCATGCAAGGGGACGCACACAGAGAGTGGGTGAAAGACGAGTGTGTGTGCGGGCGGTGCACGGCTCTCTCTCACTCACTCTCACGCGGCCACCACCGCAGCCGCACACGCAACAACAAGAAGAAGAAGCAAAAGAGGGGAGGTGGTGTGGGAGACAGCGGTGCTGCCGTCACTGTCGCCAGTTGAAGCGGGGGCATTTGTACCAACGGCAGTTTCGTTTTTTGTGGGTTCTTCGCTGTTTTTCGCGTAATTTTCATGCTGTTGATGTTGTTTTTCCTCTTGTTCTTTTTCTTGTTTTATGCTCTCTTCGTGCTCTTCTTCCTGCTGTTCCTGTTTTTTTTGCTGATCTCGTATTTCTTCTTGTAGATGTTCTCCTTCCCGTTCCTCTTCGTGTAGATGCTCTTGATTTTGTCCAGACTGGTGTTCGACTGAATTATCGTGATTTTGGGGTGCTTTTTTTGCTTCATCTTCACCGACTGTTGTAACTCGCAATGCTTCGTTTTCTGTTTCTAAAAGAGGAGGAGGAGCAGGCTCATTTTTACCTCCAGAAGAACCCGAAGGAATTTCATCGGTGCCACCACCTCCAAGAGAAGTTCCACCACCACCAGGAACCCCGGCACCAGCGGCACCAGCAGCACCAGCAGCATCAGCGGGACCAGCGGGACCAGGGCCAGCAGCGTGGAAATTCACTGAACCCAAAT